AGAGAGAGAGAGAGAGAGAGAGAGAGAGAGAGAGAGAGAGAGAGAGAGAGAGAGAGAGAGAGAGAGAGAGAGAGAGAGAGAGAGAGATCAGGACGCTGCATGTGCAGTGTTTTTTTTTTTTCGTGGATTGGGATGTGGTGAGCACTTCCTCTCTACGGCATGACTGCAGGGAATCTCCCACTTCATAAGAAACATGTGGTTATACCAATTCTATGATTCTATCTCCATTATCTCATAGGTCTTTTGATTTAGCTACACACAACCACAAACTTCGACACATCCACAAAACTATGTGCACATACAGACGCACACACACACACAGACGGAGTTTGCCTGTATGTTTGCTCAGTGCTCACACATTCGCAGATGGACATGCGAAGGGTCCTCATCACACCCTGCAGGCTTAGAACGGCAGAGCAACAAATGCTTTTGAAAGTGAAAACCCGGCACAGTCGGGCGTTTTTTGACGTAAAAACCTGAAAAAGTCAGGCAGTGCTTGAAAACGGACAATGAACGAATAGCCACTTTGTTCGTCTGCCCATCTGCCCAATCCACCAGAAGTTGGGTGGAAGGAGGAGGGAAGGGTCGAGCAAGAGGTCCGTGTGGTCTTTATAAAACAGGGAAAAAGGCACAACATCTTACATCCACTAGATGACTTCAACCTGGGAAAAGGAAGGATCGGTTAACAGACCGGAGAAAAAAACACACCCATCAACTTCGACATGGATGCACTTGGAAGGCACAGCTGGCTACAATAAGCCCGGACAAATGCACAAACAGCCCTTGAGTACAGGTCGACAACCAAGAATCAAATAGCCCATAAACAGTCCATACACAGGCAATAAATAGCACATAACTAGTCCATAAATAGCCCAAACACACTATTTATGTGTGCCTGGGCGCCTGTCTTTGCGCTATGTAGTATGTATGCCATTCCTGCACTATTAATTGGCTTTTCATGCGCTATCTGTGGGCTATTTGCAGGCTATTTGTGGGGTATTTACAGCCTATTTGATGGGCTACTTATGGGCTATTTGTTGTCTATTTATGCGCTATTTGATACTTGGTTGTCCACTTGTGTTCTTCCTCTATAGAAGGGCCATACCTGGTAACGGGATGGCATGGAGTGATCTCAACACGACTGATGTCCGCGGTCTATTCGTGGGCTGTTTCTCGGCTATTTACAGCCTTTTTGGCAGGCTATTTGTGGGCTATTTGTGGGCTATTTGTGGGCTATTCGTGGGCTGTTTCTCGGCTATTTACAGCCTTTTTGGCAGGCTATTTGTGGGCTATTTGTGGGCTATTTGTGGGCTATTTGTGGGCTGTTTCTCGGCTATTTACAGCCTTTTTGGCAGGCTATTTGTGGGCTATTTGTGGGCTATTTGTGGGCTATTTGTGGGCTATTTGATACTTGATTGTCCATCTGTGGTTGTGTTCCATAGAAGGACCATCATACCTGGTGATGTTATAGGCTGGGGTGATTGCAACAAGACAGCTGTTCCGCCGAGGAGGCCGATAATGGGCGCTAAAGTCATGAAGTCGATCGTGGATAGGGCCCAGCTGGAGAGAGAGATCTTGGTAGTAGGGAAGTTCTTCGGCAAGTATCGCTGAACAATTGGCGATGCCTCGTAAATCTTTTGCACTTCTGTCCTTTTGCGCGCCGGGATGTCTTCCGTCAGTCCCCAAGCATTGAGCGGCCAAGCTCGCGATGTCCAATGGTTGTGGAGGCTGGCGAGGTTACAAAAGTAGTCGATTGCGGCGTCGTCGGCGAGGGCCGCGAATTCCGGTTTGCTCAGGTCCATGTCCAGCACGACGTAGTGACAATACTCGACGACAAATCTTCTGGCCACCTTGGCGGTATCCGCACCGGGCTTGGACACGTCCCGAACAAGTTGGTCGATCAGCGAACGTGCCTTTGCTGAATGCATACGCTCATGGAGATCCTCTCCATTCAACCAGTCCTGATACACCTTTCGCAAAATTTCCGCCGACCCATTGCCTCCGCATTCTTTGGACGACAGGAAGAGCGTAAAGAGCGCGCCGTTGTCTGTGAAGTCCTTGTTCATGAAAACTGCTGGGTATACGCGATCCCACCGCTTCTGCGGGACGAGTATGTGCTTCGCTACATCTTCATGTGCCGTCATGACCACCTGCGTACAAGAATCCGTACATACAAACTATTAAACACTTGCCTGGTCATCACTGCGTCATTGCACGCCCTCCATGCCGGCCATCAGAGCAATCCATCAAGGCAATTAACACCTGACACCACCCATGATTCTGGAATCATTACAAAGGTAGCAGGTACTACTACCGTAGGTCCTCTTTATCATGATGGATCGCTTGGGAAAAAATGAGCAAATCAAACAACCAGATGGAACAAAACAAAACAAAACAATACAAAACACAGAGTCGAAACGAGCCAAGCGGCTTCATGCAGATAGCTTTATCCAAACAAGCTGAGCACTTGCCAGTACCAGTCTGCCACAGGGAATGGTAATTGTCAGATCTAGACCCCAAAAACAAAAAAAACAAAAAAGGGCCAAGTACGCTTATGTCAGAACAGAGATTCAAATGGGAGACACAGAGAGAGAGAGAGAGAGAGAGAGAGAGAGAGAGAGAGAGAGAGAGAGAGAGAGAGAGAGAGAGAGAGAGAGNAGAGAGAGAGAGAGAGAGAGAGAGAGAGAGAGAGAGAGAGAGAGAGAGAGAGAGAGAGAGAGGAGGAAGGGGGAAGGGGGCCACACAAACATGCAAGAGATGGTAATCACACAAACATGGCCACATGCGCAGACAGTGTATGCCCTGTGGTAGGGATGGTAATCACACATACATGGCCAAATGCGCAGAACGTCGGACCGAGGTGCTTCATTCTGTTACGGAAGAAGGTAGTTAGCTTCGAGTAGCGACCCTCTTCTTTAGTGCTCGCCACAGCTTGAATGTCTTCCAGGTATAGCGTTTTCATCAACATCCCCCACTCTTGACCTCGCTGAAGCAAAAGGGCTTGTGCTTTGCTGTTGATCTGCATTTTACTGCCTGGATCGCTTTCCTGCATGCTGTGGAACAGTGAAAAAGTCCCGTTTTTGTATTTATTTTTATTTTTTCGCACACATAAAAATCAGGCACCCACAATGCAAAGGCGTTAATAATTCCATGAATGGCATTCAAGTCGTCTTCTTTTTTAAGTTTTTTTTCCCTTTTGATTTCAAACATTCCTCCGCTGCGGAATATGCCTTCCCCTCCCCATTCTGTTTATTGGCAGTTCGTTTCCCACACTTTTTTTTCTTTTTTTTTTTTTTGCTTTCTAATCTTAAGCCACGACCCACATCAGCTCGATCAAACATCGCCGGAGCAAGCACATCCGTGGACTGGCTCTGCCATGTGGTGTAAAAAGCGCTGCAGCAGCGGCTTCGCCGCCCGGTATATCCCAGAGACCATGGAGCACATCCTCATGCAATGCCGATGCTCAGTCTGCTCGTGGAGATGGTGGGACTGTACCTGGGCCCCAACTGGGTACCGGTCAGGGGCAGGGCGTGTTGCGGGGTCCTCGGTTCCTTTCCAACGGGGTTCTCCTTTCCGGACAGATGGGCGTCCTCGACACAGTCGAGCTGGTCTGAATCTCGGGGTGGAGGGCCATTGGGGGAGGGTTTTGGTCATGAACCCGGGGGTGTCGGGTGGGAGGGGAGGAGACAGCGCTTGCACCCTCGTACCCCGACCCATGTCAGGCCCTTCGTTTCAACTATGTTTGACTTATTAGGCAGGAAGGCGGTCCTCTGGGCCATCTGGCTTGAGGATGGGAGAATTCGCAAGAAAAGATTTACACACAAGAAGGAACCGAATCACAGACATAATCCAACCCCATATCCAAACGGCAATTCAAGCGCAATTGGGAGAATGTGAAAGAAGAGATTTACACACAAAGAGAAGATATCGGAATGCAAAGCAAACAATTCTGCACTGATTGGCTGGTGGTGGACCGGGGGGGGCTGGATGGGGGAGGTGCGATGGCAAGGGGGGCAGGGCGAGGACGACCACGTGCACTACAGGCTCCTCTCCTTGGAGCCAAAGGTGAATCGTCAGTGGTATGGAGAGTAATGTAGATGGACAGCCCGCCTGCTGGTGGTGTTTGTACATCCCCGTTCCCTGCCCTCGACATTTTATTTTATTTTATTTTTTTCCACAAGTTTCCAGTCGTTGTCTCCTTCTTGCCAGATTAGCCAGCCGAGCAGTGCCCTGCCCTCCACTTTTCTTTTTTTTTTTTTTTTTGTGAAAACTCCACTTTTCAGTTATTGCTGCCTTGCCAGCTCTGTACGTAATCTGGCGGCCAGACATGGATGCGGCTTTGGATACTCCATTTCTGCCAGCTAGATTAACGGACGATGACATAAACTCCATAAACAGCACTTTTTGGGGCTTGCTACAAGGGTTTTTTTTTTTTTTTTTTTTTTTTTTCACAGCTGGTCCTATAGTTTGTGTCCCCAAAAGAAAGACGCGTTAAAACTTGAAGCTTAATAAAAATTGCCCCTACATAGATGAGAGGAGCAAGACGGCAGTGGGCACCACAGTCAGGCTACACCACAGATACATATCCTGGAGTAGCAGCTTTCCTTGCACAGAAATAATTCACGCGAGCTAACGTAGGGCGGGGAGAGGGGTGGTGCATCCTTCCTTCCTATTGGAAGTAATCAATGCCGCCGTCCACTCGGGACTCTCGTCCAGAATGGGGCGGAGTGTGCGCAAGTATTCATTGTATACCATTTTATTTTTTTATATTTTTTTCCGAGAGAAGATTTCCTTATAAAAGCCGGGAAGCGGGCCTTGCTAGGGGAACAGGTACCGGACTGTCGCTCCCCAGAAAAAAAAAAGGAAAAAAAGAAAAAAATTATTAAAAGCTTGTTATTCTTTTTATCAAGTTTTTAACAATTAACACACAGACGTATCATGTCATCGCCCTTCATACTGGTCGTAAAACTGGGCAGATTCATCCCATCTCTCTCTGCTGATTGGCAGATGACTTGCACCCTTCATACCTATCGTTCTTGAACCCATAACAGAAACATGGATGGAAGGGACAGGTAAGGAAGATATAGCCCCCCCCAAAAAAAAGATGCCTTAAGGGACAGGTAATAGGTAAGCCAAACGGAGTGTGTCAGCATAGAAAAGGGACACGTAAAAGGCCGATCAGAGTTGCTTCACCCACACCGGACAGATCGTACGGTGGTGCAAATATCGGTACAGGAGAGAGTCCATAAATGGGGACTCCGCGGAGAGACAGAAGGTCTAAGGAACGCGTTTGGCCTATATCCGACTCTGAATCACAACTTTTGGCCACTCAAGATGTTAACACCTTAAAACACCTTGTTCATCCTTCATGGCCACGCATTTGCCTTTTAAGAAACGACAAAAAGCGCTCCAAGACCCACCTCGGTCTGTGGAATGCGGCAGAAGTTCGAAAAAACAGGATTGTAATACAGACAGCAAGATGAACAGACAGCAAGATGAACAACCAGCAAAAGTGACAGAGAGCACGTTTGTAAGAAAGCTGAAAGCACAGATGGTCAAACGAAAGAGAGAGACATTCACAGAGAGAGAGAGAGAGAGAGAGAGAGAGAGAGAGAGAGAGAGAGAGAGAGAGAGAGAGAGAGAGAGAGAGAGAGAGAGAGAGAGA